GAGCAGGACATTAGGGGTCACTTTTGTGTGGTAAAAATTCTGTTTTCTTAAAACAGCAAGATCTTAAGTGAGCCGGGGTAGTAAATGGTGTGATCTTAGGGGAGACTACTGTATTACAAAGATGGGCATGGGTCATAGTAGTCATACAGCAGCTTTTTTGTCCTGCTTTCAGAGTTTCCTCATTAACTACATTGACTTGAGGGTCAGTGGATGTTGTGCATAACAAACCTTTCTACTCTTTTTGTAAGTGCATTTTCAAGTATTAATTCTATTTTTTTCTTCTTTCTCTTCCTGTTTCAACCCCAAGATCCTGACAATAAGCACATTTTAAACTTTTCCTTTCATGAGCAATTATTTTGACTTTTTCCATAAAAGCAATCAAGCACAGCAAAGCTGAAATCTTGGTGCATGGGCAGAGACATTTTAATTCTTAGAAAAAAGTGAATTTTGTCGTATAACAAATATTTCCATGTTTTCGTTCTGAACGAGGCAGAGCCAGTCTTTCAAGCATTTAAAGAAAATGAAGCAAAATCAAAACAGAGATACAATAATCTTGAGTTAGTGTCGTTACAGGTTTTATAGTGAGAACAGACCATATAAGATTTCTGTCCCCAACAGGACCTTACATCTGCCATCAAATTCCCCATTCAACTAAAATATTCCTTCAGGCATTATTTACACACACACACATATAAAACGTGCACACACACACACACACACACACACACACACACACACACACACACACACACACACACACACACACACACACACACACACCAGCACCCAATCTAAGACATTAATCCTGTGAAACAAAACCAATATTCATTTTTTAAATTCTTTTTAGAAAACCTGTAAAGTATAAACTATTTAAAAGTAATATATCCAATCCAACAAATATACAACTCAGCTGATAGAGTATATTGTAGCAGACAACAGTGTCAATCACACACTTTGGCATTGTTCTCTATTGTCGGCATAATTCTCCAATATATTATAGTGAGTCTGTAGCAAAATACGCTGATACTACACTAAAAACTGGCCATTATCTTCACAAAACAACAAGCATTATAAGTCAACATTAGAATCAACAAAATATTCCAGAAGTGCACTGCTTATGCGATAAAAAATAGCTTTTTGAGAATCAAATGCTATTTCGAAGTTACAAGTTTGCATACAGTTACTTTGTGTTGTTGATCATTCTTGCAATATATATAGTGCATGAGAATTTTCAACATTTAGAAAAATGCCCACACTTAAACTTCATATAACCATACTTTACAGTTTTCAAAGAAAAAAAAAATTCAAAGATAGACATACACAGCTTTTCACACACAATGAACCACTTATAAAGGTTACTTCAATCAGCTAAAACACTACTGAAAAGCCACTAAGAAAGCAATGAATCATTTGTAATGTTACATCAGTCTCTGTTTTCATTGTTATGTGTTTTAGTACAATACATAGAGTCACTAGTACAGGCTCTAAATAGATTGGGCAAGCAAGCACAAAGTTAAAAACTCACTACAAACCATAAACCAACACTCTAATGTACTTAAATGTAGGAGAAGAGACAAAAAAAATTATGACCTCCAAGGACTGACTGATTGTAAATGTTTTACACCCCTGTCGACACAATTTAGATCATTTAAGAGGCAGACTGTTTCAACCCTACCTGATGGATACAGTGTCCTAGCGGACAGACGGAGATACTCCATAAAAAAAACATCCCCACGCTTGTCGCTTCCACAGAGATGGAAGGAAAGAAACTGTGAGAACTTCAACAAAGTGCACAAGGACTAAAAGAATGGAGTTCTCTCTGCTCTTTCAGTTTAGTTTTAGTTTAAAGCGTTTTACACCACTTGCAACACAATAAGGTCATACTACTATATATATAGTGCCGAAGATTAGAGGTGTTACAAGAGAGTAACAAACACAAAAAAGAAGAAGGGGAGATAAAGACGATAGACGTTTGATAGGAAAGAAGAAGCAAACCACACCAGACTGCCCCCGTGGTTTTATGTTATGCACCCCACATAATTTAGCAAAATTGGATAATTTTTTGCATCATTTCTGATTATTTTCCTTTATCATCTTTTGTTAAAATTAACAGAATCGCATAATTTCCCATTTCAGTTTACATAATTTCAGAATTTTTGTTGCATAAAACGACGGGGACAGACCAGAGCACCCACCAACCACCCACTCTCTGCTCTTTGGGTTTCTGAGAAAAGAACACATTGACATAAGACAGATTAAGACAACAGTGACCATGACAAGAAATACGATGAGATGCCATTTTTGTAGCATACAACAGAGGTCATAAAAGAGACTGGCAGCTTTGACCCTGCCAATCAGGGTCAACCCATGCTATGAAGGATACAGTGTCTCAGAACACAGAGATACTTGATTTTTTAAAAACTGAACGGGAACTCACACCTTCTACATACTGCAACAGCAAAGAACATACTGTTGCACCACAAGGCCAGGACACTTCAATTTAAACTTCAACTTTACAAGTGATGGACAGTAAGAATTAGTGCAGTAGCACAATTAGCTTAGAAACATTGCCATGATCAATCATTGCAGAATCTCATAACTGAAAACATTTCAACAACACAAAATCAATAAAGACTCAGAGACGCAAAACAAGTATAAATTTACTTTGAAATAATGCCGAACTTATTTGTAGAAACTAAAAATAAGTGACAGGAAGCCAACTGCAAAACAAGCAACAATTCTTCCAACAAAGGCTATAAAAAATTAAATAAGCTTTGTTCAGGACTCAAAAAGAAGTGTCAATATTTCCTTTGCTGTGATATTCATTGATAAGCAAGAATATTGTAAGTCAAGTAACAGCTGAAGGTGAAACAATTTACATAGTTTCAAACTGATAATGTCAATAGCTGATTATTCAATTTGAGGCTTGGCTTATGAATTTGAAACTTCTTTTGGTAGGTAATGTTTATCGGTTCATCAATAGTATTGGTCTTTTACTCGTTTCAATACTTGTACAGCGGTAGGTTAAATTAGATGGGAGTTAAAGGAAAGACCTCCCTGCCCTATGCAATAACTGTATTTGATACTGTGAAAAAAGCAAGATAAGGCAGGAAATATTTGTGGAATATTATAGAAAAAGGAACTACCAATAGTAATAGCATTCTTCTCCAACCATAAGTGAAAACTCCTGATAATCAACTTGAAAACAAAGCACGACATCAGGTGAGCAGAGAGAGCACAAGAGTGCACATTAATTTTCATACTCCATCTTGCACACAAACACAAAAAAACTACGACACAACTGACCAGAAGATAAACACATAAACTGGAGTCAGACAAAGCACACTTCAAATCATGCTTCAACACTTAGAAATAATACAGAACAAAAACCACATCCAGGCATTCTCAAACCTACCAAGAATTGTGAGGTATAACCATTCTGTTTCAGAAACGTAAACTTTTTACCATTTAATTTCAAAATGAGAACATTACAATACACTCGAACAGAAATCTCTTTTGATGCAAGGAAAAGGCAAATATGTGCACACTCTCTCATGACATAAATGTGGTATGTTTACACATTCAATAGTGGTACAGGAATGGAGGGAATACAAGCTTTCCCAGGTCACATTGTTCATCAGTATGTCAGAAATGATCTTGCAGTTCTAGTGATATGTACATCCAGGTGCCATGAATAGAGCACACATTCTCTTCACCTAATCTAAGGAAAAGGTAAAAGGAACAGTTAAAGAGGAATAGAAAGCAATTCTGGGCTTTCCCTATCAGGACTCTTCAACATGACAAAGTGAACTCGTCTTAACAACCTTTGGGGTACCCATGCTAATAAAATGAAGAACTTTCTTCTGGGCAAAACTTCTGAGGTCAGGTGCCTTGCCAACTTTTATTAAATTTGTCTGTAAAGAAATAAAAATGCACTATATATTAGCAAGTACGTCAATTACAATGATATATGGCATGGCTTGCCCAAAGTTTATCAGTTTATCTTTTGGCACTATCACTAATCGTTGCTAGTGGTGGTACAGCCTAACCTATCGGCTGAAAATGCTGCCAACGGTCAATGATCAGACACAAGAGACCACATCAATGCAAGGCAAAACAAAGGTTTCCTGAGCAGTATCTAACAAGAACAACAAAAGAACCCAATAAGAGCGCAAGATGAAACTTTCACATGTTAGTCACACAAACACACATGCAGAAACAATTGGCCACCAGTAAGACAAGACTTACTTCCTCCAAGGCCACGGCATAAATACGAGATCAGAAAATCACAAGATGGGAGGAGCGCGCACACAGAGCATCACACTAGGGGGGGAAAAAAGCAAAGGGATCCTTCACAGGTTGCATCTTTAAATGCGTAATGAAGGATATTTTATAAAGATCTAAGCACACATTCCTTTGCCATTGAATGATCCTGATTTCCCAAATTATTGTATATTTTTCTCTTTAATGTTTGTTCCAAACATGGACTTATCGCTTATCAGAAGTAGACTTCTGATCACTTTCAGAAGCAACATTTCAGTTTTTCAGCTTATGGTCATTACAAGCTGACCAAAACAAGGGCACTGTGGCTCACAGAGAAAGATCAGAAGCTTAAAACTGTTTCATATTTTAGAACTGTGGAGAGAGAAAGTGGTAGTACTCTGTCAGATGAATATGTGAGGATGTACACATTACACATGCATATATATTTAACAATTATGTGTCACGTCCCGCAGAAATCAGGCGTTCGTCAATTTTGCGGCATATGGAGTTATTGGCATCATCTTAAAGTCAGTCCATTTGCCTTGCTTTTGAAACAAAAAATATTCATTTATCTTGGATACAAGTCAAGACATTGGCAACTGAAGGAGGTGGGGGTCGCCTGGTTTCACAGGTAAAATTAGCGAGGAAATGGCTGCCAAACTTGAGTTATTTTCTTAGCTTGAGGCTCTGTGAAAACTGAAAATTTACATTTTATATGCTTTTAATCAACGTTTTTCGGTAATATCCACACAGAAATGTGTACTTTAATGGGCATGAAAGGTGTGGAGCCCATTAAAAAATTTGAAAAAAATTACCAAACCAGTGGGAAAATGCCAGTTTTTTTACTTTCATTATCTTGACGAGCGCCTGATTTTACCAAGCTGCCTCACATATACAGTATAATCCACTTATATCGTCATGCTGTGGAAGTGGATTCGAGGTCGATATATAAAAATGTGGATATATGAAAATTATATAATGCCAAACAGAAAAAAACATGGGGAGGTCAGCGGTAAAAGACAACATTACTTTTTTAAGCTGGTGGCTTCCCTTGGTTCTTGAAACTGACAAGGGGTGGGGTAGGAGTTACGGTACCAAAGACTGGGCAGTGCGAGGCGCACACTACACACCATCGTAAACTTTGTAGTAGCATCCTTGTAAGGTTTTTAATGGCCGCTTGAAGGGGGAAAAAAAAAAGGTGAGGCACTGACACTGACTCACTGACAGTCGCACTTGCCAGCGACAGACTGGGAATGGGATGGGGAAGGAGAGTGAGCAATTGAGAGTAGGGGTAGGGAGGTGATACCCATCACGCGAGACAGTCACGTCTGTGAGACACTGCCATTTATGTTCGTGGGCTTCGCCCGGTATCCAGGAAGCATGTCGAAAAAGCAGAGTGGGCCGATTGTTTAGAGAAGATATTGAAGGAAAAATTTTGGAAATAGAAAAAATATGTCGAATATGTCAAAATGTTGATAAATCGGACGTCGATATAAGTGGATCATACTGTACCTTGAAAAAGATCTTTCTGCATAGACATGCAGGTCTCTTCATTTCCTGAGGTTTGAGCTTATGGCAAAATGCTTATGTTTAATTAACCCATACAACAGAAGGGTTACAGCTAAGTGCCCATGCCATTTATGAACAACTGATGACAACTGACTTGTAGCACCATATTTCAGTTACCATTTCAAATAAAGATAGCTAATTTACAATTTTATATATATAAAGTTTGCCTCAATCACATTACGTTTCATTTCAGCCTTGACAATCTGTCAACAATAAAATAGCATTTAAGCAATAGATAATGGTGGTCAGCGGTCAGTATTGGAAGAAAAACTAAATAAATAATAAATCAGCTAATTCATCTTTCTGACAAAAATAAAAACTGAGGTAGATAGATAAACTCTCACACTGGTAGAGTCAAGCAAAGCATTTTACAGGACAGAAAGAATGGAACGGCAGGAGAGAGGAAAAAGAAGGTAATAATTATCATACTATCGAATGTGGTGGGCAAACAGTTAAAAATGATCACAACATGGCAGCTTGATCAGCAGCAAACCTCTCTTCCTCTCCCACTACACTGTCAGTCCAGAGCACTCTGCATTCTCTGAGAGCACGTATGATTTTGAGAATGATGGAAAGTCGTTTTGCAAAATTCACATTTCACATTATCGACAGTGGACAATTTGCCCCGCAGTTCCTGAACCACCACCGTTGGTACCAAATCGTCCATTGATGTTTTGCCGACTGTGTTATCGCCATCCGTGCTGATATCCATCACAAGTGCAGGTGAGCTGTCTCTGGAGGACTGCGATTTCGCCTTATCATACTCCAGGTCTGGTCTTTCTTTCTTAACCAGCGGAAGGGACATGATAATTCTCGGCTGATTCTGCAGTTGTTTCACATACGGAGCCACATCCCGTGGCTCTTCTTTCACTGACACAACTGCGTTGGGTGGCACACGAGTGGAGGAACTCGGGTCTTCATTAGCAGTCACATGGAACGTGGAGCTAGGATTCACAACACTGGCACCTCTGCTGCCAAAATCTTCCGAGCTCGCCTCACTCACAGAGACTGGTTGTCGGAGGATGGCTGCCAGAGAGGGACTTGAAATTGCGCGAACACTGGATGAGGAGGACGACGAGGTATTGGTCGGAGCAGGGGACGGGGGAAGGGAAAAGAAATTCGCACTAGTTGTCGAAGGGCTCAACTGTGCAAGATTCAGGGCCTGCTGCTGCTGCTGCTGGAGTTGCTGAGGCTGTTGCTGTGTGTTGATCTCAGTCGGGGACACTGGCACAGGGTTTCCTCCCTGTAAGGGGCGAGAGCTCAGCAACTGCGTAACCATGCTGCGTGGATTCATCAATGTGGTCCTCAGCAGACCTCTCGGGGAGGTGGAGCTGGGGGACACCACAGGTGGGGCAACAGGAGGCCGGGGAGTTGGGACCATAGACAATGTCGATGCAGCGTTAGCAGCAGCTAATCGGCCTGACCTACCCGGTGTTCTCTTTCTCGGAGAAGAAGAACTAAGTCCGTCTCCTGTGGCCCTTGCTGTGCTCAAGTTCAATACCATGTGTGGCGAAGGGTTCCTTGGCTGCTCCATGGGCAGCACAGTTGGAAGGTCAACACGGGTAATGGTTGTGGTGGTTGGGTTAGTGTGGCTTGAATGCTGCAGTCCGTATGGTAACTGAGGAGCCCCTCTCCCCATACCGCCAGCACTTGCATTTACTGTCACTGTCCGTGGGCTCTGACCCATCACACCTGAGCTCTGGCTTTTCGTCACAACTGTGCTGGTCTGGTGCGGGTTATGACCACTCAGATAGTTGGCCATGATGGCTGGAGGCACCAATTCTCGGGTGCGCTGGGTCCTCTCTTTCACCAGACCCCCCGAGCCACTCCACTTGTAGCCGCACTGAATTTCATCTCCCCCAGAACCACCATCCGAAGTCAAAGCTGTCGCAGGATTGCCTGCCTTCCCCTGCCCCCCAGCCTGCCGTGTGGTAGAAGCAATGACTGCCTGCACATGGCTACTGCAAGACTCCCGGGGAGCCTTCAGCTTGTAATCTCTAGCACTGGCAAACATTCTCGCCTGGAGACTGGAATCGGCATGCTTATCATTTGTCAACTTCTGTGGTGGAACAGAAGAAGAGTTTGCTCCATCCTCCTTTCCTGGGTTCTTATTCATCAGAAATAGAAACTGCTCCACACTTTGTGGTAGAGACTTTTGGGCACCAACAGCCTCTGGTGCCAGTCTTGAGGCAGCCAGCAAAGGAATGTCAGAAGCTAGCTGGAGAGGTTTAGGCTTGGACAGGTCGATCGCACCACAATCTGAGGCTGCCACCTTCGCCCCTGCTGTTACCGCATCCACCGAGTCCGCTGCACTGTGGGATGTCTCCTCAGGGTGAGAAGATACAACACTGTTCCGAATCTGAGCCAGTGCTACAGGGCTGGAGTTGGCAAAGTCTGTTGACAATGTAATGGGCTTGGGTACGGCATTAGGCACAAGACTGGATGTTGCAGGAAACGTCTGGATAGGGTGTGGTGGGATGTTCCCAGCAAACAACAGTGGAGGTAAAGGCGGAAGATTGGCTGTGTTGGGGTTGTTGTTACCTGATTTGTTGATGATGGGAAAAGGTGGGCCTGTGACCACAGACTTCTCCCTGACCTTGACATTGCCACCAGCCATGCTCATCAGCTGGTTCAGGGAGATAGTAGGACCAGCAACACATGAGGCAGACTGGGTGAACATGGTCTTGGGTGGCTGTGAGGTAGCTAGAGGGGGGGCTCCGCCTCCTCTCAGCACAGGGAAAGTGGAGCCAAATGTCACCCGAGGGGAGAAGGTTGCAACCGGTGCTGCGGTGGTACCAGAAGCTAGCGTCTCCTGACTGAGAGGGTTCGAAGAAGAAGCTAGCGTCTCCTGACTGAGAGGGTTCGAAGAAGAGTCTCTCCTGGCCGTCTCAAGACTAACCGTAGACAAAAGGTTGAGGTTGGTCAGCATGGAAGTGTCTGCGTTGTTCTGCGACATGTTCAGCGTGTTGTGTTGCGACAGGTTCACTGCATTGTGCTGTGATATGTTCACGCTGACCTCCTCTACCTTATTTCCTTTTTTGCTTTCCTTCTTTTTCTCTTTTGCCAGTTTTGAAGCCAATCTAGAGCTTTTCCTGGCTCGTTTTGGAGAAGAAGGGGGATTCAGTTCGTCTGGGAGGGTTACTGTAGCAGGGAGTGGTGGGCCTGTGGAAATGTTGGGTGCTGTGACAATAGGCGGTATATCCAAGCTCTTTTCTTTTGAATCTGATGATGACGATGGGAGGATGCAAATGTCTGGGCTTTTGCTAGCAATAGCTGCTGCCTCTAGTAAAGTTTGCATAGCTGATAATCCACTGGAAGATCGTTTCAAACCTACCCCTGGTCTCTCTTTCGTCTCTGGCGTGTTTCTTTTGCTACCATTAGTCTGAGAATGCACACGTTTGCTGCGTCGTTTAGACAAGCTGTTGGGGGTCCCCTTCTTAGCATCAGGGCCCAGGAGGGGCATCATATCACTGACACATTTCTGGATGAGTCGCATTGACATCCCAGACAGGTGGGGGGGCACTCCCTTACGTTGGTCCTGCACCCGACTACATGACCTCCGTAAAATTCTGCTGAGAATGGTGGCGGACAGAGTGTTATTGTTCTTGGATGGATTGCGGCCTTGTCGTACATTGTGCCGTCCACTCACGGAGAGACCCTCATGGCGTTGGATGTGATTGAGAAGGTTGGCATCTGATGAAAAATGCTTGTGACAGATCCGACAGACATTCCGAGCTGTTTCTCTCTTCAACTTCCTCCCAGAAGCTGAGAAGTAAAACAGAAAAATGCACTGGAACACTTAGCAAGATCATGGTAGAAACCTAAAAATGAAAGACAAGTCTCACAATACAATACAATACTGAGCATAAATAATATTTCTTCAAACAGTTGGATGACAATTTTGAACTTTAAATTTTACGCTTTTTCTAATGTTAAAAAAATTCATAACTATACACTGAAAATTTTGTTGATTTTCAGTCAATGATTTCTACATGTTATAGCCCAATTTTCCATTTTTTGTTTAGTTTCATTAAGTTTGCCGTACTATCATAGAATACACAATACTACTAACAAGGTGTCTGAAAAAGAGCGCAGTACATTTGAAACTTTCTAATCAGCAGCATCAAAGCATCAAAAAATATGCACGCTTCACTTCGAAGAACAAATGATGAAACTAATACGTTGTCTGAAAAAAGAGCACACTTTGACCTTTCCTAAATAACATTATAAAATACGCTTTGCAGACTTTGCTCTAAAAAAACTCACAAAAGTTTAGTTTTAATAAATTTACGGAACTGGAAACCCAAAAAGGTCACACAAGTGCCAAACATTAGCGGTGTTACAAGAAGTTTGATACGAAAGAAGGAGTGACCCACACCACAGCACCCGCAAACTACTCGCACTCACAAAAGGCCTGAATTAGGTGTTAGCAGTACAAGTTTACCCCAAGAGGCAATAAATCAGAGAAAAAAATTGTTCAATTTTTTTAAACATATAAAATGTTCTCCAATAAAAGTTAAAAAGACCTTTTCTTAAAATGTGATTGTCTGCAAAACTTATATGAGCATGTAATATATTCCTGCATATCTCACAATGGTAACTTTAACAGAAAGCTAAACATGAGAGATGGGATATTGACATATATATGTGAGGCATTGTGGTGAAAGGTGAAAGCAGGCGCTCGTCAAAATAATGAAATGTAAGAAATCAGTAATTTTCAGCCAGTTCGGATATTTGTTTCGATTTTTTCTTTTTTGGCTCAATACCTTGTACTTCCATTCAAAAACATTCTTATGTGTAGTAGTAGTATAAGGTTTTACGGCGCTCGCAACTGCTAAGGTCATATGAGCGCGCGAAACACAAGTTGTTCACCTCTGCGAAAGTTCACTTCACGACTGGTAACTAATTTACTTTAAAATGCTAAAAAGTTAAAATATTCAAATTCGGTGTAAATACATTT